AAAATTAAACAATAAATGCTTCAACTCTATTCCAATATTAGATATTATTTGCACCACATAAAATGTTTTATGTAGAAAAAGAAAGGGGGTTCAAAAAGCCAAAAGCAAGCTTGGCAACCTAGATAAGTACCACTTGAGATTGCCATTATCTTTTTGTTCAATAAGAGGTGGCAGAGGTTGGAAAATGCCAAATTCAGAACTTTACCACCTCCTACCACCATCTTTGAACTCATGAAAGGGTGCAAGTTGGCAACTTATGGTTGCCACCTACTTGTGCCCAAGCAAACTCTAGCACTTAAATGACTAGTAGAAAATAATATGCTATATCATTCTACCACTAGTGGGTGAGATTTCACCTCATCCTATCAACAGAACTTAAGGTGCCACCTCAAAAGAAAGAAAATAAAACAAGAAAGTACAACCAAGGTACTGATATTGTACTTTTACTCTTGTAAGTATAACTGAGTTTAATGTTTTTCAGTACTTGGGACAGTCCTCCATCAAAATCCCCTTTCCAACTCTCCATCCATCATTGGATCCCAAAAGAATTATCTTGCCAAATCCTAAGAGAAACCTGGAGATGCGTTAAGAAAGCCATCTAACTGCATAAACTGCAGTTTCAACATCCTTTAGATGGGTTCTTCACAGCTACAATTGAAGAATTTACTCCTTAAGGATATTGCATCAATATAAAATGCAATAAAACATTTATCAGCCAGAAAGACTGCAACTCCATAAACAGTTCCCAGACATTTGATCTATCTTCTGCAGCTTCCATGTCCAACTCAGGAATCACAGTTGTAACTTTCCTATGAAAGGACCTTCTTAGCAAGAGAGTTTTCAGCAAGCCTAGGAACATAGTGCCCTAGTTGGACAATATTGAGAGGTTGGGACATCTAGAACAACCAAACACCGATAATCACTTTGAACTATGGAGTGCAGGTAATAACAGCAAGTGAAATCATGCAAACAGATCTTGTCAGGAAAAACTAGCAGCTAACTGTATCAAGGAAAATTACTGCAATATGAATGGCACTTTAAGTTTTGGTGGAACGCTTCCTCCAAAAAATGAAGCTTCTTCAGCCAATCTGCAAAGAACTCTGCGAACAATTTCTCCCAAATACATACCAGATATTATCTTCTCAAAAATCTGTGAGAACCAACCAAAAAATTCAAAGGAGCAAACTTATGATTATCCGCCCAAATGCAAAGAAAGACTAGACATAAAAGAAATATAACTTGTGAATTGACCTGTTCACCAGGGTTTATACTCTCTGCATCCAGAGCATGATCATACTCTGTTAGTGGAAGATGCGACGTCTGAAAGTTACCCCACTCCGTGTTGACAACCTGTAATAACACATTCTCAGTAACTCCAAGATTCATTTCACAATTTACAATTGGTTCAACTCAAACAATAATCCTTTCCAATAGTTAATTGCTAGATAATGAATAATATATATGTACACACAGCTAACCATCTCTCCAGATTTAGGTAGTGGACCATGCCATTTTGGTATTGCTTGCACACACTCCACATATGCTGCATTTGTTCCAGTACCTAAGATGACTGAAGCAACAACATCCTTATTGGTATACCTACCTCCGGCTAATGTTCCAACTGTGTCATTTACCTGGCGTTGATTGCACACA